TTCTATAAACACCTTGAAATTACCAGAAAAAGTTGATGGATTACAAAGCTAGATTTGAAGCCGCTTAGATCAATGCTGTGTTTGAAAAAACAAAATATTCATTTGCTGAAGCTCTGGCTGGTAGTTACACCAAAAATAGAACACATTGTCCAGGCTTCCTGCCTTTCACTAGATGATACAGAGACTGTTGTTTTGGAGTACTTGGTATAGCTGCCTTCAATTTCTTACATATCCTCTTCAGACAGGTACATCATCAATAGCCACAGGAATAACAAACAGGTCTGCTGCAGAGCCTTGATGTTTAATCACTGATCTCAGGAGCTGACTGATTTTTAAAATCCTAGTGAAGATCATATTGCCTAGAATAGATTTCAGGGGGAAAAAAAAAAAGCTCACAGAAGAATATAGTTTATTATGATGATTGATTAATGTCCATGCAAAAAAAAAAAAAAAAAAAAATCAGAAAGCATTCCTACAAGTGGGACTATGTCTTTGACCACGTACAGCATAACAAGGAAGAAAAAAATCTGATTCAATAGATAATTAATTTTTCTGAGAAACTGAAAACAAAGTATGAAAATTTGACTTTTAATTTCCTTGAAAAAATCCTCCCAAATGCTAGGATCAGCCAGAGGCATTATTTTGCATGGCTACTAATGATAATGTAAGAAAGCATGTGATTGAAATTTTTTACTCTACTTTTTTTCAGGAAGAGAGAAAACATGATCATTTTTCCCACTGTAGACTGCAAAAATGGGAATTTTTTTTTTTTGCATCCCAACATAAAAATCCCATCTCCAGAATGCCAGTGAGGTACAGCCTGAAAGAAGGTGACATGACCAAAGGTGTCCAGGTAAAGAATGGGATCCCTGTAAGACATGGCTTACAGTATGCAGATGGTAACTCAGGTCCTTTTTAATTCAAATACAACTTCTTTCATCACTGCCTTTCTCTAGAAGTTGTAATTTGAAGAGCTTTTCCTTTTGAGCCTCGGCAGCAGCACAGCTGAATTTCATCATCTCACCTGAAACAAGGTTTCCCTTGGACAGGTTATAGTATTTAGCACTGGGGTTACCAGACCAGTAAGGTTTTCTTGAAACAAAAGGATGGAGTAGATTTTAAAATTAAGTTTTTCATACGGAAAGGCTCATCCTTTCTCAAAATAACTTGGGTTTTCATCAAATACGAGAAACGGAAAATTGCTCGGCAGGTTTTGCTTAAAAACTGTTCTTTTTAAGTACTTCAGCAGGAACTTTTTTTTGTAAGGAAAATTTTTCCAACTACGTTAGGTACAACCACCACATAGCAATAAAACTGTTCATTCATTTGTGAGGTGTAATAGAAGAGTCTGAAGTGACACTGACAAGTTCAGTGGTGCTTGTAGTGGTGTTCACAGATCTCTTTTGCTCCCTGGTCTTCTTGACATGCAATCTACTGTGCATACAGTTTAAAGAGACAAGTCTAACACAGAGATAGATGCTTCTCTTCTTGTATGCCTGTGCACTGAAAGGTGTGTGTGCTTACAGCAGTGTCAGCAGGAGAAGAAGTAAGACAAACAACCATTTATACAGACTGGAGTGCTTCACTTGTTCAGCCTATGTGGTTGCTACAAAAAGATCTAAAAGGGGTGGGGTGGAAAAAGCAAATGGAATAAGGAGAAAAAGAAGCTGAAGAGAAAGGCTATCCTTGCTGTGAAGACAGACTCCTTATGCACATGAATATTTACAGAGGAACTGTGTCTAGATGGCAGTTAACTGCTGCCCTCATGGAAGAATGTGACACCGGGGATTAGTCGAGGACTTCACTTGTTGAAGTCATCTGTTCCTTCCAACTGAAAGGATGCACACACAATCCCATCTCAGCCCCAGCAATGCTGCCAGACCCTCATATAATATTCCATTACCATCTTTGACATCTTTCCTTCTTCCTCCCATCCTCAGCATGCTCTACCCTTTCTCAGGTCCCAAAAGTGGTAGGTGGGAAAGGGTGAGCCTGTATTTATCAGGCAGGCAGCCGAACAGAACAGATGAATTTTGAGCTTATACCAGGGCCCCTTGGAGCAAATTTAGCTGAAATCACTGGGTAATTTAAGAACAGTGGGAGGGAAAAGGAGAAGATAAATGACAGAAAAATATGATAATACAAACCTCACCTCTAAAAGAAGCAAGGTGAAGATAAGCACCAACCAGATCACCTGACTGGTGGAAATATGCCTGAGTGACAGAGGGACTCTCTAAGGAGCTGTTGCATTGAAGTTCTTAGTCCCCATCACAAACTGGGTTTCTTTTCCCTTCATTCTCCCAAGAAGTTTTGGTTCCACCTCTGTCACATTATTACAGCATCACTGTGCCAATTGCATCAGAGCTTGTATTTTCCCTTTTAAAACACCCCCAAACAGCAAAGACATTTTACATGATGCATTAATGAAAGGCTTAGTCCGTGACTTGTGTCAAAACCTAAACCTTTGTGACGGTCAACATTTAACACTCTGCAAGTACCATAAAAGGAGTCCTAGAGTTGGTACTTGGTGTTGTGCAGAGCATGCAGATGGCAGGTTAAAAGACAAGGAAGAATGGGACATTTCTGGGCAGATATTTAAAGAAAACTGCTGCTTTTAAGTGAGGTTTCCTAGTAGATCAGGTAGACAAGTATTTTCTCCTGCATCTATATTGCTTCACAGTGGCCAATCAACATCCCAAAGAGTAGGCCTATCCAACACCTCAGCCTAGTACGGTCAAGATAAACTCACGAAATTTTGAAAAGCTGAACCTGATACTGTTCCTGGTACTGTTCAGAGCTACAGACTCTGCTAAAAACAGCTTCGATTTTCACTCATTGCACTAGTAACTGCTTTAATTATAAAACTGAATTGTAGTAAGGGCTTGACCTCCTGACTTAGCTATAATAGCTGAAAATATTTACCTTACATGGGCAAAAAACCTATAGGGCACAAGAAAGAAAGAAGAGGAATATATATACAATAAATATATATACATAAAATAGCTGTGACATAACCACAAGAATAATAGTAGAAGTAAGCACTTAAACGCCATTGTTTTTTCTGTTAGATTCTTTAGAAATATTTCAGATTGTATCTCATGAAAACTCTGAAAATACAAATTGGGACAAAAAAATCGGCTTGAGTATTTTCATTTTTGCTATAGGCTAATAGCAAAAAATCTCTCAGAAAGAAATAATTTTAACTGTTACTGACTTTAACTCAGCAGAAGACAAAAGTCCCAGCTTCTCCTAAAAACTAAACACACATCTCAAACCACACAATCCTACAAGGTTTTGTATTGTGGGATTTAGCAGTCTGCTGCATATCTTAAGAAGAAAAGCTTCCAAAAGTGAACAGATGCAGCAGGCTCCAAGTATCTTGGAATACACAAGATACACGAATTGTCTCTTTTCCTCTCAGAAAGGATCTGGCTTTGTTTTTCCTGTTGAAATTCACCTATGCTAAAAATCCAGAATCACAAAAGCGTAGCGCAAAATAAACCTATTCCACTAGAGGAGTAAGAATCAGTTTCTGGTAACACATCACCTCTTCCGTTATTGTCTTTAGCTGTGAAATTTCTGTTCTAACTGTTCTAAAACTGTGTCCTTACAGAAGCAGACATATACTCCCTCCAGGTTTGCTAACCAACACCAGGAGACAGAACAGAGAATAAAGTACAATGGTATGTCTACGTCTGTTCTGTACCTGTTAAACAAACCAAAAACTCTAGAGAAAATTACACTGCTAGAAATTCCCTGCAATTGAACTACCTAAGTTTTGTGTCCAAAGCATAATGGCTGTGTTTGACATTTTTAAAGCCAGCTCACTGTGGCTGACTGTAGTATCTGTGGGCAAATCTACCTCAAGCACAGTGATTTAGATGGTATTTATTATATTTGAAGGCTTTATTACAGTTCACAATGCTTTTACCCTACAGAGAGGAAGCTACAATATTGCACCTAAACTTACGTAGCCAGTCATCTTTGTTTCCCTCTCGAATTTGGAAAAGTAGCCAAAGCAGTAAAGTCAGTAAGAAACCCTCATCCCCAAAGGTACCAGAGGAAGTCTTGGTGCATGAGCTGCTACGGACCATAAATTACCTGAGACTCCCTGACAAGTAGACAGTCAGGCACATGAAAGTGATTCTAACAGGCAAAAATAAAAATCAGTAAGTTAACATGCTCAATGTCTTTTTCATACAAACAAGCCTTTTGATTTGTTATCACCATCTTTACTTTATGGCAGTTTTGTGCTCTTGAACACAGATGTGCCAAGGAGCTTCTCTCACCTCTTAGTGGCACAGAATAGTCACAGAAAATCCAAATATTTAGCAAAACAAGAAAAAATACTCACTTGAGAGAGATCTAGTACAAAGAACAAAAAAGTTTGCCTCTTTACTGTTTCACAGCACAAAATCCAAGAGCAATCCAACCACCCAAGCTACAGGTACATAAGTAGTTTGGGTTGGTACCAGCACAGAGCTTTGCTGCACAGCACCCCCTTCCTGGGGCAAAAGTCAAGCCTGGTCAGGAACACGCCAATACTGCACTCAGCTCAGTGCCACCTATATCTCTTATGCCTTTACCAATCAGCAGCTGTACTCAATGTTCAATACTGGACATATTAGGAATAAAGTCCTTCTAAACAGATAAAAGGAAACGTCTCCATCACATCCATTTTAAGCATAATGACATTTTCCTATGTCCCAGGCATCCCATACATTTTTCTTCAGCAACAGATAGCTTGCTATGCTATCTTTATGAGAGGAAAATCTTCCATCGACTATCTTCTCAGTAACTTTGCTTCATGTCTTCACAGACATGAGATGACAAAAGCCAGGGGCATACCTGAAATCCTTGGATTTTAACATGCACTGAACTGCTAGGAAATTTTTAACTGGAAAGGTCACAAGAGACAGATTTCTGGGCACACCTCCAGCTAAATGCCACCTTTTCAGCAATGCTCTCACATCTAATGTTATATAAAAGGCAAACAGACACTTTTCAGTGATAGCTTGCAGCAGGCCCACCTGCATCCTAAAGGTAAAGCTTAAATACCCCAGAGTTCTACAGCAGAAATGCCATCTTGCAATCAACAGCTGTGGAAGATCAACACCAGTCTCCACTGTCCTCCTCTCTTGCTGTAGCCATGCACTGATCAGAACTAGAAACCAGAAGCTGATACAATGTGAGGTGCTTCAGAAATTTCACCAAAGAAGAATGAGGCACTCATAATCTGTTATTATTTTGGCTGGCTGTGCTTTTAACCTGAAATTGAAAAATGTGCATAAACCCAAAAATGCTCAGTTTTTAACAGTAAATTGAATTCAGTGTCTCACATCCCAGATAAACATCCTAAATCTTGATGCACAGTTGTGTGAAGGGATGGGTACTCTTTGCTCCCCTTCTATGCAAGACACACTCTTGACTAGATCAGCTTTCTCAGTGTCAATCCAATATATTTTCTGGAACAGATTTCACTCTGTTGAACTAGTATTTTCCAACAACAAATATAATTTTTTCACTAAAATTACAAGCAGTTCTAGCAACACAAAAAATTACCTAAAACCAGACCTCAGCCTTTCTACTCACCTCCTTACTGTCTCACTGTTTTCTATTAATGGATTATGCCTGTTTTCTATGTCATTGGTGAGATGAGGGAAAAATTAATCCTATTCCATATTGTTCCCTGCTATTCCCACTCCAAAGCCTTCAACATGCTTGAACATAAACCCCTGGAGCTTCTACCTCTTAGTATGTACTACTCCCAGTTAAACAAAGGAAGAGTTAAAACCAGTCTCAAAATTCTGTAATAATTTTTTGCTATAACCTCTGTCCATGCTGAGTCTGTCTCAGAAGAAACCAAGAGATTTACTATCTACAGAGTACAAGAAAAAAAAAAACCTGCAATAAATATTTTTAGTATTTTATTAACATTAACAAAACCAGCACATTAAAGGGGGGGGGGGGGTCACCTGTTTGGAGAGTATTCACATTTTAATGACAGCTATGAATATATAATGAACTATGTACAACTGTGTCAGCCATCAACTGAACACTAATCAATGTAATCCAAATCTTCTGGGATTCCAAAACATTTATCTATTCTGCTCTCTTCAAATCCAAATTTACGCTTGGCCCAGGACTTTACTGAAAAGATGTTATCTGTAAACAGAATGAAGAACATTGATTTTTGGAAATGTATTTAGGAAAGCATGAATTACAGTCTCAACTACAACAAAATCCTTCAATTTGCACTATCTCTCATATGTATGAAAAAGGTACATAATGGGAAACATCATTATTAAGTAGATTTAGAACAGAAAACACAAAGCTTTTGTTAATAACCTCCAAAAAGGAAGAAACAATTTACTTAGCACTGAACAAAAATTTGTTATCTTTATCTTTTCTTGCTCCTCTTTTACAGAGACTGAAGCTACAATTACAGTGTAAGCCTGCTATAGTGATGAGGTAAGTGCATAGTAAGTATTTTACACATCCTTCTTCAACTACACACCTAATATGTGACTCTCTCCAGCTACAAAAATTTGATTTAAATTACTGTAAGGTCCGTTCTAGTCCTGCACATTTGTTCAGACATTGTGTATTTTTTGAAAGTTAAAAAAAGGACATTCAAGAAGCTTTATTTTAGTCAGCACTTCTCTTTTAGCATCACATTATTTTAACACATACATTTTGTTCTATTTAACAACATTTTTCACTGTAGCATTTACTGAAACTTATTACAACATTTTTAGCACCCATAAATTGCAGCATTCCTTAAGAGAGGAAGTGTTCCCTGTCTCTGCACAGCTTAGAGATACTTTTCTTTATTTTAACCATCACACATTCGGTTATAAATCTGTCTCTTCAAAAGAAAAATATGCTGCAGCATATAACCAAATTGTCTAATTAAATAGCAAAGTATTTCCTACAGGCTGAGGCACAGTTCCTTTGCCTCACTTGAGGGCATGAGAACAGCCTGTCATCAACAGCAGAAAGCCCTGACAACGCCCAGAAGTTATTTTTAAATACATTATTTTATTTCCCCATACACAGTAAACAACCCAGATATAAAATAATAGTTCAAAGAATAAGACAATTATATCCTGCTGCACTTGGCACAACCAATGATAGTCAGAAGTCCATCAGTAGGAGATCTATTCTAGACAAAAAATTATTTATAATATTCTAAATCATTTTAAAGCCATAAGGACATATAAATTGCTTGCTTTGCAAAATGGGAATGAATACAGCAAAGCTAAGCAACAACAGAAAATTGAGCTAAACTTCCATATGAATGTCATAACAGTAACATTCCTTAAAAACTGTGCATCATTTTACCTGTCAAAACTGATCAATTAGTTTGAGAAACACCTACTTTGTATCAGCATTCATCACATGGTAGCAACAATAAGATTACACAAAACATTCTACTCTTTAGAAAGAAATGAGTATTCAGACTAGAATTAAACTTTCTGAATACCTGGGCATCACCATTTCCAGTCTCTATTGCTTTCTTTATTTTAAGAGATGTTAACTCATCCAAGGAAATAAGTTGCAGGATTTAACACAGTGTACAAGACAGCATCAGAAGGACAAATCTATTACGGAATATGAAGTACATTCAGTAACTAAATTGAGATGTATTCTTTTTGTTGAATAAGTAAAATACATTTCTCTATGTTTTTTTAAGTCAGGACTACTCTATGTCAAATCCTAATAAAATTTAAAGTTCTTAACACTGAGTAGGTCTTTTACTGAAATTGCTCTAGAGTGAAGCTGCATCACTGCCATACACACCAGTCCATCTGTTGGCTGCCTCCTTGGCCACTTGGTTTGTTTGGCCTGAAACAGAGAAAAGCATCACCAACAATAAAAGCATACATCACAGTAAAATCATCACACTTTCAAGGCACAGACTGAATTTTTATTGATGTCATTTTTACAGAACCACACAATGAAAGGAAGTTGTTCTACTGCTTACAAACATTTGTTTTACACTTCTAAGGTTCTAGCAAGCACAAAGCTAGGTTAAAGAAAAAGAGTAGCAAAGAGCATAAAGGATACCACGTGAACAACTTTAAGTTTTTAACGTGTATTTTAAAATAAAATAACCGCTAGATTGGCTAGGGACGTAACTGTCTTCACAAAGATTGGAACGCGATACATGGCCTGAAGATACCAGAGGCAGAGATGGAAAATATTTCGTAATCCTCTCTATAGGTAAGTAAACCATCACATGGGTATGCATGACTGTATATAGATAAGGAAAATGACAAGGGAGCAGTCTATCCTATCAATCCAGAAGACATCTGGAATGTCTCCATGGCTTTGAGAACCCCCTCAATGAAATGAAGATAAAATAATGATTCTGGCTATTAAACTTGGCTTATGTCCTTTAACAGCATTCCAGAACTAAACACATAATAGTAAATTACCATTACTACAAACAGGTTTTGTACAGTTTCCATGAGACAAAACAATCAAGGAGAATTCCTCTTAGATCACCTTGCTCCCATTAAAGTACTGAACCAAATCAAGCGGGTCAGGTTGTAATGTGGGAATTTATCAGAATAATTCTGGTCCTTACACCTACATGTAACTTGGTTATTCACAGTCAGTCTTGTTAGCACTTGCACAATAATACTCCTTTGAATGGCCAGCATGAAACTTGTCTCTGGGGTACTGACATATAAATACATTATCAGGTATCCATTGTTATACACATTAAACTTTAAGCAAAATTAAATTATGTTGAGAAATCTGCTAGCACAGAGGAAGGGAAGTACTCATTATTCCAACCTTACTACTACTGTAACTGATATGAAAAATGTTTACATTGGAGTAATATGCTATTTCAAAACCAGTACAGTTTCTAAAAATGGCCTACAATTAGAAAGTTTGAGCACAGTACAAAGAAAAGCAAAAAAATGAGAAAAAAAACGCAATGGGAGAGAAAATGGCATTTTTGCTTGCTTGCATACATCAAATTCAAGTTGTTCCTAGCCTGAGAGAGATATCCCTTACTTCCTTTGCTGAGCTCTTCTGCCATCTCCACTTGTTCAGTTCCACAACTGGCAGCACTGACAACATTCTTGCAGCTAATGGCATTTGGAACAGTACCTAACCTAACCCTACTTAAATCAAGTCTGCAGAGTAAGAGTTTCCACTTACCAAGACTTTAAACGTGTGACCTACAATACTTCCCTCAGCATTTTTCCAAAATTCTACCATAAAACTTGACAGTTGTATTTGACTCCAGGTAATGAAGTTTAAAATTAAGTAGGGGAAAGTGGGATGGCATTAAACTCCATGGATGCAGAGCAGTGAGGTGACACCATCCCGGTGGTAGGGGAGCCAACTTACTCCACAGTACCTGCAAGGTCTCAGCAGAAAGCTTAGCTTTGCTGGAAGCAGCTGACCAGCTCAACAGCAGCAGCATGTTGCACCGAATCCTGCAAACACTGCATATATGTGATCATGTGTTCTGAAAATGTGACTTCACATCTCTGTTAAAAAAAAGGCTGAGGTGATGACAGACATAGGCTGGACAACAAGTTAGAATGGCAGTCACTGCCTATAACCGAGTTGTGACTAGAAATTAAAACATGGTAGTTAGAGCAGGAAGCTATAATAGGGAATTCCATTATAACAGATATAGATAGATTGATAGATAGACATATAATCCCCAGTGTCTCATGGCTACAGGTGAAAATTTAGCTATCAGAAGGCAAGATTTAAGTCCCTTGGGATCAGTATTAAGTCTTGCCTAGAATTCTACTACATGATCTTGTGTGTCTGCTGCAACCAATACCATGCCTGGATGAGGAACAAGAGACAGTCTTTGACAGTTATGGACCTGCATCTCCTGAAGACACCAGCCACATCTGCCAGAGACCACTACTGTCAGCATCTTCCAGAGACCTCCAACTCCATCACAAGAACTGACAGAAATGAAGAAATCTGCACCTTCACTTGCTTTCTGGAACTCTTTTATAGCTGCTTGTTGTATTATACAGGCACGGAGGATGAGGGAAAGCAGGCGTAGTAAAGCAGACACCCCCCCCAGACACACCTACTTCACTTATGGGTGTAACTAATTCAAAGTCATGCTACTTCTGACTGCCTGCTCTCTACCTCCAGAGGATCACACAGCCAGGTTGGTTTTTAGGCTGCATTGAAAAAGAAAGCTCAAGATCTAAAGACAGCAATAGCATGGGAACTCAAAGATATGCATTCCAAAGCAGAATCATGACACCAACTGTGTGAAGCTGTAAAAATGAGAAACTCAGAGCACAAAGGGCAACTGGCTAATTGCCAAAACTATCACAACCATGCAGTTCCAAACTTGGCTGGAGTTCTTGTGATTCTCCTGCTCACCAGAGCTGCTCTAACTGAACTTGATTTTTGGCAGTTACTAAATAGTGCTCCAGTATTGAATCTGCACAAGACAATGAAAGGCTAAATATGCTGTAGAGGTGAGCAATAGAGGAGGCAACATTTTCCAGATGTTCTCATTATCATCAGGCTCTAGTTACAGTCTGTATCTATACATCTGCATACAGGGTGACAATATATATAATTGCTGTCTGGAAGCTGCAAAACAATCCATTTTTTCTGGACATTACATACTTTTTTCACCTATTTGTGTGACAATGCATCAACAGACTCCCACTCCCATGTCTTTAGGACACAAGTCATTTATTTGGCTGAAGCAGATACCTGTATCCTCTGCTGACTAATTTCAGGCACATTTGGCATTTTCTAAGAAAAAAAAAGAAGCTTACATTTTTGTCTCCAAAACTGAACAAAAGCAACCACTATGCACAGCAATGCAAGGCCCAGGAGCAGCAAGACTTGAAGTGCTGGTATGTTATGTCAGCAAAACACAGCTGGAAATAGGCCCGAAACAGTGAAAGGCTACAGGACAGAGAGTTATTTTGACCAGTCCTCATGAAAGGTTTTCTTCTCCTCAACCCCCAAGTATCTCTGGAGAACTGCAGGGAACTAAAAAAACCCAGATTCTGGGAGCTGAACCACTGTCTCAAGCATCTGTAATTACCCTTATCACATGGACAATTCCCTCTATTCCCATAGAGGAAAGCAGAAGTAAGGAAAGGAAGGTCCAGCCACAGTAAATGTCTAAAAAGAAAACGAGGTTGGTTTGGAAACATGTTTTTCAATGCAGGTAAGTGGTATTCTACCAGTGACCTGCAGATATTTTGGAGCAGGCCAGGAGAAGAGGTGACCAAAGGGCACACGGACAGCTGTCAAAGGTGCACTAAGAAGCTTCTAAAGCAAATAGACAGCACTTGGTCAGGAATCAAGGCCAGCAGCACAGAACATCATCACAGCAGTGTTTCTAACAAATCTTAACAGGCATTATATATTGACTCAAAACACTACAAGGTCACAATGTTTCCAATCTGATTCAGGAAGCCACTACAGTCATTCTCAGCATACTGCAGAACTACAGCCTCCTCCTTCCTTCTTCCCTCAGATGCTCTCACTTTTTTCACTGGAAGGGAGAGATGGTTGGAATTAAAAGTCCTATTTGTATTCCAAAGTTGAATGACCAAAAGCTATAGAAGTCTCAAATATTTCCACACGGCAAAAAACAATTGTGATAGCAACAACCATCACCATCTCCTAAAACATTTTCCAAATGTATTTTACGTTCTTCCTAAAAACCTTTTAAAGTCTCACGCATCATTAAGGGAACACTAAGGATACACTAATGGAACAGTACTCAAATTCAGACTGTAAAGGCAACATATTACAGTTCCAGTAGCTATAGTAAAAGAAACAAAACAACAACAAACCAATGTCCAGAACCAGCTTACAACCACCTGAGCTTGTAGAAATTAACAAAGAGCTGTAGCTTTCTTTAATCTCCTAGATCCTATTCTGGCATTTTCTGGATAACTTCAAGGACTTCTAGGTCCAGGAACCTCTACTTCCCTAGAATAACAAAAGCTAATTGTACTTATAAAGCTTACACACTTCAGTGCCAGTGCCTACCACAACTAATGGCACAATAAAATTGTATGGACTTCCTCACTTAAAAGGCACATGAATGCAGAGGGAATTAACACCTTACCAAGGAGAGAGTCACCCATCAGCATGTAGGGTGTTAGCAGACATATGCAAAATACAACTGCAGTCTTCAGCATGTGGGCAAGGGAGTAATTTTACAGCATGGATCACAACGCGTCTGCATGAAATGCAGGGAACAGCTGCAACTGTTCTCAGGGACCAGAGAAGATTATTAGCCCAAAGATTCCCAATCTTGCTCATGAAATTGGTCAGGGTAAATTAAGTTCATTAAGTGGATTTGAATTCCTGTAATAAATATGCATTCACTTAGACTGAATTCAAAGATGAAAAATGGCAACTACCATAGGAATTGAATGTGAACTTGAACCTCCCATGACTGTTTATCCACTGCCTTCCGCAGAGAATTATCCATTCTCCTGCACATAGGTTGCTCTTATTTTCCAGAAACACTACCTTGCCATCATCACAGTCACAGATTTGTTTTCCTATTTCTCCTGGGGCAGCATCACTATAATATCACTATAATAGTTTCCTGTGATGCAGTTTCCAGAATTTTTCCACCAATGAAAACATCTCACACAAATGTATTAGGCAGATACCTCCACACTATTGGAAATCTTTTTCCTTCCCCATGCTTCCCAAAGAGGCATTTCCTCTTATAAACAGAATAAAGAGCTGCCGTGTAGAAAAGTGATAGCACATCAGAATTCTGTCAACTCCTTTGAATCCAGAATAACACATCCCTCTTCCCCCATATCCCAGTATCCCACACAACACTTTTCCTTATG